TATCAAAGCCTATAGCACCTCAGAGAAGTTATTTCACTCCTGGTCCCAGACACAAGTTGTCTGCATGATCTGGCACTGAGCTAAGCAGATTAACAATGGCAGCATATTAAATGGCATCGGACACACAAGCAATGGGATGTTGGGTCTTTGTCTGACATACTTGTAATGAAAAGACAATGCTGGCCAAGAGCCAGGATTTAAGGTTCTGATTTTAACAGAGCTAGCAAGTAAGAAAGGACCAGAGGCTTAGAAACAGCTGAGCATTGCCTGGAGCCCTCCCTTGGGACCCTCTCATGCTAATGAGTATAATTTACAACATAGAAAACACAGGATCCTGACTGTGTTGATTGCTGTCTAGACAGAATCACAGGGGTTGGAAAAAGATCACCAAGTCCAACCATGAACCCAACACTACCAGTTCCAGAGTAGATACAACCCCTACTCCAGAAGGATTACAGTCCAAGCTAACCAGAAAAGTGGAGAGGAAAGCATTATTTCCTCTACTTCACAGATAGGGAAGATACACTTAGAAATAGATTTGCCAATAGATCACCAAAGAAGGTTGCAGGAGAAACAAGGGCCATGTCCAGGACCCTTGTTCCTTCCACTGCCTGAACTCAGAGACCTGCAGATCTTGACTGTAGAAAACCATATTGGGTGGAACACTACAGGACATTTAATCCTCTCTCAGTAGAGAATGAAATCTAAGTAAAAAACTGGGACAGATCTTTGCTTAATCTGTTCTCAAAAACTTCCAATGACAGATATCCATAACCTGCACAGGCAGGCTTTTCATCTGCCTTCAGGGATGCAAAGTTTGAGATTAAAGAGCTCCCCCTCTCCCAGCCTCACAAGTCATGTTTTCTAGACTTTTATCATTCGCACTGCTTTCTCCTGAACTTTCTGATTAATCCAAACCTTTTAAACTGGACACGTACAACTCCAGCATATGTCTTGCCAAAGCTAAGTACAAAGATTGCTTCATAAAACTTAGATGTGACAGTAATCCTGTCCTGTCCATCTTCACCTGATAACATACTGTACTTTGTTCAGTGACCCGTCTGACCTTGGACGGTTAGTGGTCTCTGGGAGTAGGAGCTTTTCACTGCAATGCATTAATTTTTCTCTGAGGATTTTAGGAAATAAAAACTTACTGTCTGGCACTTCCTTCTGCTTCCCTCCACTCCAGAAAGATGTCCTCTAACAAGGATATTACTCAGAGATGAATTGCCACTTTGAGTACAGTGTTAATGACTGAAGCTATGAATATAAATTTATTCCTATCGTCCATTTAAGAGCTTGGAACAAGCCACCAGTATGGAGAGGTCATATGTACCAGTAGAAACAAAACCCTGGGAGGGATTCATTTCTCTTCCCTTCCTCAAGTCATTTAGACTCATTTTTCGATTGATCGAGTGAAATAGAGTTGCCTCAGCCTCAGACAAACATCTAAAATAGGTTTGCTGAATCATGGTCTTTAAGGGTCTTTAATAACTCAAGCTTCCCTTGATTCATTTAGGTTTCACTCTCCCCCAACATCCCTTGTTACTCAGGGGAGGACTCAGGTACAGCCAGACACTTCAAGTCAATGAAGGGGCTCAGTGTCACCTCAAGACCTCTCAGCAGCCTTCAAAAACAAGTGTTACATCTTCAGACCAAGCAGCACAGGTGCCAAGAAAGCAGCAGAGAAATGGAAGATGAGCAGCTACAAATCACCTCTCATTTTTGCACTTTGCCAGGTTCTCCAAATTAGTTTGAATTTTTTTTCCCTCTCCCTTTGTAAAGCTGTTGAAACAGTGATTTTCTGACAACCCCAGCTCTGTGTTCAGTGCTCTCCCGGGGTGACCTGAGCATCACTTCTAAATTTGCCTCTGTTCAGGGAACACAGGAATCCAACACACAAACTTCCCCTCTCAAAGTTACTGCCCAGGAGGAGGTGGAGAGTCTGTCGTGCAACGACAGGCACATGGATCATCTGCTTCCCTGCAGCTAGAGGAATTACTTTCCTTTGACTATCAAATCCCAATCTGTGTTCTGCTCCCTTCCTTTCACTTCAGGACACTATTTTTATATTCATCTGTTCATCATCAGTGACTTGGGGCACTTTAATAAAAAATAAAAATAATACAGTTAAGAGTCCTGTGAAAAAAAAAAATCAAACTCACCTCAACAGAACACTCTGCTCAAGACAAATATAAAATGTACTTAAACCCCCATCTCCACTTTGCTGTGCTGCTCACCCCAGGACTGTATCCCAGCCCGCACATTGCACGGTCAGTGCGTCTGTCTCTCCATGTTATTTTCTTCACGCTCAGTTTACCTGGCAGATAATTCTCTTTTTATATCTCAAGAATTACTTGTTAGCCTATAAACAGGAGCTTGTTAGCCAGCTTCTACTTTCTGATCTCTGCAGGAACTCATAATTGGCATGGAAAAAAAAAAAAAGTAGAATTTAAAACACATCACTTGTCATCAGATTAAGTGCTCTTTCTTTCTGAGCAATACGGGAATGGCAGGGAATTACGGTAATGGCAAGGATACTGCCTGCTACATCAGCAGAGCAGTAAAGTTCCTGCTGCTCCTTGACAGTGGGGAGCTGAGCACTGCAACTGGGGAGGGTGGCTGCAGGGATGCTGGAGCCAAGCCCATCACACACCTTGGGATACAGGGAATCAGTGCAACTGGGAACCAGCAAAATACTAGTGGGGAAATAAAGGGAGGAAAGCAATGGATTTTTCGGGCACAGAGTCCCATCTCTGCATGAAGGGAGAAGCTGGCTGTGTCGTGCTGTGAATCTCCTTTCCAGATGCTCAGAGAAGCTGTGCTGCCTTCTAGAGACCCAAGAGGTGAGTGTGGATTGGGACAAGCACAAGGGTCCAGGGAATGCTCTGCCCCAAAACATCTCTCTCCACAGGTTGAGTGTTATCTGCTTGGTTTGGAGCATGAATATCTGTCAGTCCTCTCTGCTGCGTTTCCTTGACTTACTGGGAAGTTCTGCTTAGTGTGCTTAAAAATCAAATTTGACCATTTCTTAATTTTCTAGTCCACCATCAACCCTCTAATGACCACAGTTATAATGCTTAGAGATGCTTGATGCTACAGTCACTTCTCACTGATGTGCTTAGTAATATCTGCCCTTTTCTTTCTTGGAATTATTCTTCAACTTCTTCCCTCTTGCAGGAAAGAAAATACAAAGATCCAATTTTGTTTCAGTGCATGGAAAGCAAATTCCCATAGTGCAATACCTTTTCATCTCCCCTCCCCCTTCCTCCCTGCTTGTCAACTGGGAATTTGGGGGGTTCAGAGTAAGAGGAATTTTAACCACTTTTGCCTGCAGGAAAAGTCAGTTTTGAGATTCAGCTATGTGACAGTTGTTGCTGCTCAGTGTTTGTGTAAAGTGTGATCTGAGAGACTCATCCAAGAGGCCTGATATTAGGGCACTTACAGAGTCTTACCTTATCTCAGAGTAGTCTTAGTGGTGGTTTTTCACACATCTGAGCAGTATTTTGGATGGGAACCCTAGACCTACATCTAGGTGTTGTGAAAGGCTTTCAGCCCACGCTTGTAGCTTCCCCCTTCGTGCCCCCCGTGTCTCAGTTCCCAGGCTTATCCTCACTTTTCCATCTGATGTACCTTTTCTCCATATTTAGTCAGCTCAGGCTGAGCTTGGCTTCCTGATACTCTGAAATGTTGTCACTCAGTAGGAAACTTGTTCCTTGCAACATCTTCTGCTTGGCAGGAGTTGCTTTTCCCTATAGATTTCTAAAATGGGTGGTTTAGCTGGACTAACGAGCAGTTCAGTGGGTAAAGGAGTCACTTAATAAAGAAATCTTAGACTAAAGTCTGGACTTATAAATCTGTTTCACAGTTTGTAGTCCTGAATTGTGTCCCGCAGGTTTCTACCTCTCCTAGAACTGATCTCTAGGTGAACTGATAATTAGGATTGATTGTTATCCCTAAAGGAGAGTGGACTGCTGCTGAGAGCACGGTGAGAAAATTCAGGCAGCAAAATCCACGTTGGTCTCTTAGTTGTTGTTAAACAATACTTGGCTGAAAAAGGTTGGTTCCACCAGCTGGAGCCAGCCCGAGGAAGGCTCCCTAAAATAGCCTTTCACTCTATTCTTATATGGGAACCATAGCAGTGAGTGAACGTTGCTTCTGGGAGTCATATTGTTTGTCTTTATCTTCTTTAGGGGGTGATGATCTCCAAAGAGCATAACAGTGTCATCATTGATGTGGAAAACTTCTCTCTCCCCTTCACAGCAAACCAGAAGCTGATGTAAATGAACTTAGATTCACAGTCCGGGAGCTCAAGTGACAACTGCTCCACAGCATGGAGAAGCTTTGATTGACACTTCAGACCCTGAAGATGGATAGTAGCAGGTATATCTGCCACTACCTATCTTGACATTCTTGATAATCAATGCCATTGCTGAGCAGACACAGCAGCAGCACTCTCCACCTAATCAGCTTTCTTCTAAGCCCGTTGTAAGGCAGAATCAGGACTAACACAAGATAATTAAAAGCATCAGTGATTTCCTCTTGGGAGAAACCTAAATTAGAGATCCTTTGGAATATTTATGTTACTTAAATATTGAACCTTCCCAAAAAGGCAGAGATGATTTTAACCTGCAATTCCAATATTTCTCATCATGTAATCCTGGAAGGTAGGATAAATAGCCTTGGTTTTGTGTAGCCTCACTTCTGCACCCCAAGAAAAATGCAAAATGAATTAAATTTGACTTGTAAATGGTGGATATTAACTGTGCTACAATGGTAGAAACCTAGTGAGAAAGACAGATTTTCTAATATGTTTCTGGATCCTTCTCATTGTTCCTGGTGCTGCACTTCTAAGATGTTCTTAAAAACTCTTTCCAAAAACTGTAAAGCCAGGAAGATGTTGCCTTTAGGACCTTCTGAGAACTGATCTCATCACTCTTCCTACTTGAAAAAGGAGTGAAGTACAACAGCCTTGTATTACCATTATCAGCCAACTCACCATGGCTTTCCTCCCTGGAAACTCCTCCGACTGCTCCAACTGCACCCACCCTGTGGGACCTGTCAACATTTCAAAGGCCATTTCACTAGGTGTTATTCTAGGGGGGCTGATAGTTTTTGGGGTTTTGGGTAATATTCTGGTTATCCTCTCTGTAGCCTGCCACAGACACCTGCAGAGTGTTACCCACTACTATATAATTAACCTGGCTATAGCTGACCTCCTTTTGACTTCCACTGTCCTGCCCTTCTCAGCTACTATGGAGATTTTGGGCTACTGGGCCTTTGGGAGAATATTCTGCAACATCTGGGCAGCTGTTGATGTCCTTTGCTGCACTGCTTCCATTATGAGCCTCTGTATCATCTCGATAGACAGATACATCGGGGTGAGCTACCCACTGAGATACCCAAGCATAGTGACAGAGAAGAGAGGTCTCCTGGCTTTACTGTGCGTTTGGGCGTTGTCTCTGGTGATATCCATTGGACCTCTTTTTGGCTGGAAGGAACCAGCACCAGAAGATGAGACCATCTGTCAAATCACCGAGGAGCCTGGTTACGTGTTATTCTCTGCTCTAGGCTCCTTCTACCTCCCCTTGGCTATTATCTTGGTGATGTATTGCCGAGTGTATGTAGTGGCCAAAAGGGAAAACAAAGGTCTGACTTCTGGTCTGAAGACAGAGAGATCTCATTCTGAAGAGGTGACCCTACGGATCCATCGTAAAAATGCTCCTGAAACGAGCGGAGCAGCACCCAACCCCAAGAGCAAGCATCATTTCTCAGTACGTCTCCTCAAGTTCTCCAGGGAAAAGAAAGCTGCCAAGACCCTGGGAATAGTTGTGGGATGCTTCGTTCTCTGCTGGCTTCCATTTTTTGTAGTAATGCCTCTTGGTAAGTAAAGTAAAACTCTCTACCTTGTACAAAACCTTCCCTGGAGTGAAGGAGATGTTTGTGCCTGTGTACAATAATGCTGATCAGAAAAGCTCTGAGGGAATAATTTTCTATTGGAAAGCTGTCAAAAACAAAACATTCACCATCACAAAGCAGGGAATGTAAAAAAAAAAATAGAAGTCTCAAATGGAACAAAACATCTCTGGTTCAAAGAGAAGCATAAAATTCTGAAAATAATGGAAAGGGTTCAGAACTCTCTTTCCATACAGAAAATACTCTTTCAGAACTAGAACTGTTATTTCTGACCAACTCTGCTACAGGAACAGTATCTTTAGGGGGGTGTGTGTTTATATCTAAGCTTGTAGCTAATTCTTCAGGTGGTATAAATATGTAAAAGGTCAAGAAACAAATGTATTCAGGGTCAAAGTAGCTGTTTACAAACTCGGGGCCAGATCTCCTGGAGTGCTCAACATCTAATCATTTCCACTATAAAACAAAAAATCAGCTTCCTCTCAGGAAGTTCACACTTTAAGATACCATACACCAAATGAAATTAATGTAATTTTTAATTTATCATATGAACAGTCAGGATCCATCAAACTAATTTTATACTTCTCTATTTTGCATCTATTGTGGAAACCCACTGAGCCCGCTGGTCAAACACCAGCTTCAACCATCATGTTGAATATGAATATTTATTCACCAGTTGTAACTCTAAAAGGGAGGAAAGTCAGGGATTTGTTCTGCTTTGCTATCACTGAAATATAAAGAAGTAATTAGAATTTTAATGCAACCTTGCTTAGTCACCTTTGATGTAACTTCAGGATTTAAAAGCAGAATACTAATTCCATACCTGTATCTGAGGGTGATGTATGTGGCACATCATACTGAAGTTTGCTCTGCAACAGCTGCACTAAATACTAGTTTTTGAAACATGGAACTTTAAATTTGTGATTTGCTCAATTTCAGTAGCTTTTCTTATGGAAAACCTTTTTGCTGAACAGGAAAAATAAAGTAAGATTGTGTGGAGGTTTTACCTTGTAACAGAACAATGTGCATAATTAAGAAAAAACAGCCTTACTTCAACATGAAAATAAATATTTGGGGATGTTCTTTTGCTTTTTAAACCTTATAAACAGCTGTTCTTGTTCAATTAACCTCTACTGGATTTACCAAGACTACCAGGTTGTTTCATGAAAACCTATCACTAGTGCTGCCATGTGAAAAACCCCAAAATACAGAATCTTTTCTGTTGGTCAACACTGGGAAGTGCTGGAGTAAGTGGTGTAGATGTTTCATAAGGAGGAGCGCTGAAAGGCCTGGCTCGTGCTGTCCAGGATGTCAGCATGTTGGAATGCTGGTTGCCAAGATGTCTGAAACATACCCAAAAAGGGTTTGTGAGGACGCATTAAACACACTTTTTTTCATCTGCAAACTTAGTTGCCCACACAGAGCTGTTGTTAATTAATTTGCTTTGGATTTAAGAAATTTTCAGGATTCAAGAGTGGCTTTGCATCTTTCTTTGATCCCTTAAAAGGAAATTTTCTTGAGGTTAGTTTCTCTATCTTTGTGGGGGAATTATGTTATTTTTAAAGCATATAACAAGTCTTTCAAAACCTATTTGCTTCTTTGGTTTAAAGACAAAAAACTATTAAACAGACAAGTGGCACAAAAACCCCACCATCTTCAGAAAAACCAAGGAAACTTCTTGAGGGAGACTGTCCCACCCAGAGCCAGAGAATCCCCCAGAGATGATTGTATCTGGCACTCTACACCTATACAGAATGGTCGGGGTTGGGAGGGAACTCTGGAGATCATCTAGTCCAA